ATAATATAGTATAGTATAATATAGTATAGTATAATATAATATAATATAATATAATATAATATAAAATATAATATATTATAATATGGTCTCTGTTGCTGGGCATCATCTTTGCAGACGCAGGTCGGCAAATACTCAGACGCGAAGGCAGAGACCGTGGAGTCGGCAGCTGCCCAGCCCGGGTGCCTAGCAGTGCAGTGGAGCTTTGGATGTGGGTAGTTCCCTAAATTAGGGTCTCTTTTAGGGTCCTTTTTATAAGGGCGTCGTAATACTATATTGGGGACCCCCAAAGGGACCCTGAACTACCCATGTGCATTCGATGATCGTCTCCGCCCTGGTCACCCTCCCTTGTGAGGGAGATGTGTGCTCCAGGCATGCTTTTGTAAGCGCAGGGCATGCAGGCTGGCAGGCCAAGTCGCAGAAATCGATTTTCGCACCGGACAAGCAAGGCTCAGGTGGCAAGTTGCTGAAATCAACTCGCGATCCAAGTTTGCACGCGCACTAATTGGGCCCTCAGCCTTCCCAACCCTACAGGCCTCCACAAGGCTCCCGAATCCCAAGCCTACACCCCTGGCAAAAGCAGCAACATGTCCAAGGACGCCAGGCTCGAGACGCCGGACAGACAATCTCAAACAGACCCCTGAACCCTAAACCCTAAACCCTAAACCCTAAACCCCTCACCCCCTGGAGCTCTAAACCCTGATGCCTCACGGTGTCTGACGCCTTCAACACCTAATATCTGGGCCTGAATAATTAGACTAGTGTTTGGGGGTATATTATGCTATAGTTGTAATAAGGAACCCCCCAAAACCCTATTCCAACTATTAAGGCCCCCACACATCAGACTTAGACCCTTAAGACCTTCAAGTCTTATAAGACTTGACTCTCAGACCTTCCCGAGAGAAACCCTGAGCCCTGAAGATTCATCTGGGTAGTTTTCTAAATCAGGGTCCCTTTTAGGGTCCTTTTTTTATAAGGGTGCCGTACTATATTGAGGACCTAAAAGGGGACCCTAATTTAGAGAACTGCCCATCTGTTGCCCAAGATCTCCTGCCCGGCTCTTCTTAGGCCCAAGTTCCCAAAATTTTCGGCCAGCTCCGGCCTTGTAGTTTATGCCCTCGATGACAGACGCCCCATCGGTCCGACGTGCGGGATCCTTTCAAGGGTTCAGGGAGAAAAGAGCACAAGGAGTGAGAAGAACCCGGTCGGGCCTGGACTTTCGGAAGGAATTTCCCATGTACACGCTGTCTCTCTCCACTTTCTGGAGCTCGTCAAGCTTTTGGCACACGAAGACATGCTGGAAGCGAAGCGTCTCACCATCTTCGACGAGACCATGGGGAGGGCCATGTTTGTTTCACACCAGTGGCTCGCGAGCCACCATCCCGATCCAGACAACGAGCAGCTTCAAGTGTTGCAAGAAGCTTTGAGAAATCTCCTGTCTGGAGTGGCCCAAGTAAGCCAGCCGGTTCAGTCAGAGCTATTTCACGGCCGCTTGAAGTGTCCAACAGCATCAGACCTGACGTCCACGCCACTCTACATTTGGTACGATTTCCTGTGCTGCCCGCAAGACACATCTGAACGTGCAAGTCGGAACCGACAGCGTGCAATTGGCGGCATACCTTCCTACGTTTCCAAATGCAAGTACTTCGTGGTTCTCTGCCCTGCGCTGGCACATGCCGAGCAAAGGGAGACTCTCTCATATGAGACGTGGGCTGGCAGAGGCTGGTTGGTTGAAATAAGCGCATGGCGAGGTGGGAAAAGGGTTCACAAGTCTGGTAGCAATGGGTACGTTGAAGGCTAGTGCTGCTAGTCGAATTCCACCCTGAAGCCGTCGGCGAGTGAAGAATGACTTGCATGAGGTGAGATCTGGAGCCTCTGAAGAGTCTACTGGATTGTTACCAGAGTAAGGATGATGAAGGGACTGCAGGCTCGCAACCGACTCACAACCCCAAAACCACTAGTAACCAGCCTTCAAACCCTCTTCCCAAACCCTTTGCCGAGTGCCAGTGCCGCACTTCGGTCTTGATGCGCCCTTCATATGACTTGAGGCATGATGTCCATGGCAACACGTGTCATCTTGCGACCGCTCCGTTTCTGCGTGTCACCGTGTCATCCTGTTCAGGTCAGGGCTGGAAGGAGCCCTCAACCTTAGCACTCAACCCCTGTAGTCTGAAGCAAGGGGGTGCGCAAGAATAACCCTTCCGCACCTTGAGGCTGGTGTCGTGCCGAGAAGATGGCTCAGGACCTCGCGGCCAGGAATGACAGTTGCACCATCATCATCGAAAGCCCGACGCATGCGAAGTTGAACTATGACCTTCTCAGATCGCCGCCTGCGATGGGAACATTTACCGTTGAGTCCGACAGGACGAGGATTGGACACATGCTGGTTCAAATGATCTGGAACAAGCTGTGGTACTATCGGGAGACGGGCGACCTCCACAACTACCGGCTCTTGTTGAACGAGCAAAAATCGCGCTGGCTCCAGGGTCTCAACATGAACCCAATTGACGGTTTGGTCGAAGATTTCGTCACAGATGCTGACCCCTTCGATCAGCCCAGGGAATTCGAGCTGGCACGGTTCCTGCACCAGAACGGCTTCCGAAGTCCACTGGAGAGGGACTCGGCTGGCTGGTCGCCGATTTGCTTTGCTGTCGTGAGGGGCAGCTCGGACTTGGTACAGTCCTTGCTTGCTCGCCGAGCTGATCCCAATGATGCCATTGCCAAGCCCAAGAAGGAGCTGGCGATGCCCATGCGATTCTCGCTGCTTTCTCTGGCCGCTGTGTACCACAATCAGGATGTTCTACTGACGCTCCTATCGGCAAGGGCCGACGTTCATGCGAGGGACGCAAGAAATTCAACTGCCATCCTTTGGGCGTGTTGTGCCAATAATGCAGGTGGTATCCGGTGCTTGTGCCAGGCAGGGGCGGATCCCTCTGATCGTTGCAATCCTAGCATTAGCGCTCTTCAGGTAGCCTCAGCATTTTCGTCTCTGGACGCAATGGCAGAGCTGAGGTCGCAAGCACCTTCCTTAAGCCTGAAGTTCTGTTTGCACCATGCTCTCATGGTTCAAGGCGGCTCCTATGAGCCGATCAGTTTCTTAATCCAAGCGAAGGCAGACGTGAACGAGCAGTTCGAAGCAGAGGGGAATCTGTGGTGGCTGGTGTTTAAGCTGGGAAGCTTCCGGCACAAGTTCAGCCCCTCGCGTTTGACCCTCTTGTCGTATCACCACGCAGGGGCGACACCGCTGATGTTTAGCATCCTCAGCGGCTACTTTAGTGTCGTTCCTCTCTTACTTGCTGCAGGAGCAAGGCTGGATGTTCGAAACTTGCGGAAGCAGACGGCAAGCGATCTCGCCGTCGCAGTCCGAGCGCCCAGTCCCTTGCTCCAGAAGTTGCGGCAGGCTACTGCAGGCACCCTTCAGGCACCTTCCACTGAGACGGCGGAGGACACTTTCTCTATTTGATGATCAGCAGGAGAATCGCAGGATCCTCCTGCTATGTGTTTTGTTCTTGGCCCGCTGACTCGGGTCTTTTTGAGACGGCACCACAAGCGCGGATGCCCCTTTTGCCCAGTGCTTCAACAAGATGTACGGGCGTGAATCACTAACTGAACTCCGTGGCTGCATTGCGTGTGTTGGTGCCTAGCCAGCCCCATCGTCTCTGCATGCTGTAATGATGACCACGTTATCGTTTTCCTGGCTAGCACGGAATGGGCAAAGAGGGTACGTCGTTGCTATCCGCTGGAAGGCTAGTGTTGAGCGCGGCCTTTCAGGGATCCTTTCCGCCGAAGGCATTTCCGCACAGGTTCAAGCAAAAACCAGCACACTCTTGTGAATTTCGGCTTTAATTTCCAGCCTCAGCCCCCAATCTCTCGGACTGCCACCAAGGACTCGAACATCCAGCTCCTGTCCTTTGCGCTTGAGCCCTGGACGGTTTGGAATAGGAAACATGGGACCCGAGAATCATCTTAAGGTCCGGCGCAGACTGCAATCGTCCAGCGCATCGAGCACCGCCTTGCGCAGTGCGGCTCTCATGATATAGGCCCCAAAAGTTAGCACCCATATATGACGGACGCTCAACCAGGGACCCCTCAATTGTAAGAAAGCCCCACCCCACCTGGTCGGCACGGGTTTGACACTGGCTGGTTCCTGGCAAGGCTGGCGAAGCTGCCCATCGAGACGCTCGAGCGGCTGGTTGTTCTGCGGTACGAGCCGGGGTCTTGAAATCCGTGACCTCCTGCTTTGTTCCTTTTCCAAGGATCCCACTGTCTACAGTAAGGCTCAGTAAGGTCTCTAGGGCCCTAGGAGCACTTGGGGCACTTGGAGTTTGAGGCCCGGCCAGGAGTTCACTCTTCACCATGCCTGCGCCCAAGAGCCGGCCCAGGCTGGTACTGGTAATTCGAATTCTGCCCAAGTTTCCGAGGATGGAAAGTTTCGGCCGATCACGATTTTCTTGTACCTGAACGAACTCCCCGCCGATGCTGCAGGGGTGAGCTTTGCAGCGTCTTTGAGCTGTGCATGCCAATAGCATGAACCACCGCCAGTGGCCAGGGAGACACGCACTTCCCACACCTCGGCTTCAGCTTCGTGCCCCGGAGAGGTGGTTTCTAGAACCACGCCATGTCCAAGTGCGAGATGGTCTCTGCCTGCGGTTGCCAGGCTGTGCTGTGATGTGGCCCAATGCGCAGGCAGACGGCGCTGAGGCTCCCCAGGGTGAAATCCTCCCTCTCTGCAGTTTGGGAGTTTCCGAAAAGTCGGGGTACCTTATTTTGGTGTCCTTATATTAAGGATCCTATTATTTAGGGTACTAGATTAGGGTCCCCTATTTTCGGAAACCCCCGTTTCAGAGCTTTGCAGAGCAAAGGACAGCCGCATGGTCCATGCAGGGCGGCCACCAAGCACTGGTGTGAAGCACGGCGCTCGGCACACGTTGAAACTCCGCTACATGTAACTACTTATGATTTGGCTACAAGGTACGGTGTCAACTGCTTCTTCAACTTGGCCACCAAGCGGCTTGCGTGCAGCTCAACCGCCGGCGCTCGGAAGGGATGCAGGATACCTGTCTGCCTTTTAGGTACGTCCTGGCGACCTCAACATGTCGTCTGAGGCTTCTTCCCCAGCTTGGCTACGATGCCTCTTGGGGCAGCTTTAGGAAGACCGTGCGAAGGTGTCCCAACTCAGCTTTTGAGGAATGCTACGTGGTCAACATCGCCAGCTTGGAAGAAGGGAAGAAAGAAAATGGAGAGGCAGGCCCTTTGGCATGACTGCTTCTGTGCACCTTGAAATTCCTGCAGAGTGTCTGCAGGATCGGTCCTGCCCCAGAAGAAGGACCTTCACGCCGGCATCCGGGATGTTTTGCTTGCCGGGAGTGCGCAATTTGCTGACCTAAACCCTAAACCCTAAGCTGACCTGGGGGCAACTCAGGCTGGACACCGATCCCAACGTGCGGGTTGCGCTGGCTTCAGATGCACGTCATCTTGCTGTCTCTTCAATAGGGGCCTTAGTAATTACCTTTATTATTTGGGGGTTCCTTAGTTACAATTATACTTTTAACGGCATTGCTGCGGAGGATGCGCCATGCATGCTGCAGTCAGCACTGAAGCTAGGACTTCCATAAAAACTTCTGGGCATTGTGAAGTGGTGATTTCAGTGTCTGGTGGCAAGTTATCGCATCAGGATCACCATGCCGGTAATCAGCAAGGGTTGGAGCTATGAACAGGCAAGAGCCAAAGCGACGTAGCTTTAGCGGTCGTTCATCATTTAACCACCTTCTCCTGGTGGCCGGCCATGGCGGGCAGTGCGGGCTATCCCAGCAACTCTCAGGGGAGGCCGTTGATGTAAACCTGCAGCTCCGAGAACGTTTGTATCAATGTCAAGCAAAGTTCGATTACCTGGAAGCTTTCTGACGCAGTCCACCATCCGACAAATCGTCTGCGCGACGCATGGAGGCGATGGAGGCAGGGTGACTGGAGAAGAGATCTCTAGCTGCTAGCTTTTGGCGAACTGTACGGCTCAGGTCACTCGTCCGGACAACTCGGCCCCACTTTGCCAGGATCCATCGGTCGTTTTGCACTTCTCTTGCATTCCTGAGGAGCACAGGATTTCAGGGTGTATGCCCATCTCAATCTCTAAAGGCAATTCAATTTCTCAGGCAGTGTCTCAAATGGCTATATCCCTGCGACGACTTTCCGGCATTGGCTGCTGTCTGCTCGCAGCTTCGAGTGCAATGTGCGCAGGACAGTGTGTTCTGCCAGGGTCTTTGCGGCAAGGCATGCAAAATTCCCGTGCTGCGGCTTTGAAGGACATGCTGTGGAATGCAGTGCTGGAGTGGCTCGGCACAGCAAGTGCTTTCTGACATTACGATGCTTTGAGGAAATGCATGCTCGAAACGAGGTATTGGCCGTCGATGGACAAAGCAGTCAGTCGCATCGAGTACGTAGGCTCTCGGCACAGCGGCGCCGCTCGTAGCATGCTCAGACGGCAGCGACTCGGGAGTTTCCGAAAATAAGGGGTACCTTATCTTGGGGTCCTTATAATAAGGATCCTACTATTTACTATTTAGGGCACTATATTGGGGTCCCCTATTTTGGGAAACCCCCACTCCTGGAACACTGCAAGCTGATAGCTGCCGCGCTTGCGTCCCGCTCTCAGGTGTGCGACATGTCCGAGGCGCCCTGGCTGCCAATGAGCGGCTCTACCACGCCTTTGCCGAAGGCGTCGGAGAGAGCCCAGTGCCGTGGCCCGTGCCAATGCACCCCGTCTCTGCAAGGCCGTGCCAAGGCAGAGGCGGTACGAGATCTCGTGGATGAAAAGACTGGAACCGATGCTTTCCTGCAGATAAGCGGGAACAGGTTTTCGTCGAAACATACCGGCCGTGATCCGCCAAGGTCATCCACCCTGGAGGGCAGTGCCTTTCTGGCGGCCTCCAGTTCCAGACCTGGATGCGGATTCTAGGTTCTTGCTCCTACCTCGTGTCTTATCTCGAGTCTCGAGTCCATGCAAAGATCCACACGTTGCAGGCCGTCCGGAGCAGCCAGTCTGCCTCGAGTGCCGCCGATGCCAAGCCTCAACAGATTCACATCTATGGGTTTGGAGAGCGGACTGCTGAAATGCGACGGCAGATTCAGGGCAACTGCTGAATAAGGACAGGTCTGGCGAATAGATGATGCTATGGCCTTCGTCGACGCTCGGATCTGCTTGAGCCTGTATGGCACTTGCAACAGCTTGGGCGTCTTACCCAGGTTTGTGCGGAGGACTTCTCATCAAACGTCATGGAGGCAACCAATGTTTTCATGCAAATGCCCTGCGGGTCCTGGCGCATCCTGGCAGCACTTCTGGACGGCAGGCAACTGTGGCTCAGATCGGTTGATAAGATTCATTCTTGGAGCAATGGTCAGGGATGATCCATCACCATGGGAGCCCATCGCATTGAAAGCGTTCCTGGTGCATGCGACTGTTTGCAAAACACAGACAGTCGCTGCACTGTTTGTTTATGCTGCAACGGCTTCCGTCTGGCCCGCAGCCATTTCCGCAATCGTCTCTGAATGAAAAAAACTTGATGAGTGCACTTGGACTTGGAGCGGTAACAGCCTTCCAGCTGCGGCGCCTGGTTTCCCAAAGTTGTTTGTCAGCAACAATCCCGTGCCGAGGTTCCAGGGTTCCTCACGCAGGATGAGGCGTTCGGAATCTGATCAGATATCGGTTGGATGTGGGAATGTTATGGAGCTTCTTTCGCCGCCAGGCCGAACATTTCGCTTCCCTGGCGCCAGACGACCTTGGTCTGGATCGCAGCAAGTGCATGTCAGCGGTCGGTTCTGTTCTGCTTGGTGGTGCGAGGCAGCGGAGCAAGTGATGTCGGCTTCCCCGGTGCAGCAGCATGGAGTTCAGTGCACGTCGTGCGCTGGTGGCAGTGCCATTTCTAAGAGCTTGTTCTGGCCTTTGAACACAGGTCCTGCTGCAGACGCTCGTGGAGCCTGTTGCCCCAACAGCGCGGCAGATTGAGGCAAACTATACTGCTGCCCAAGTTTGGCCAGCACACTTACCAAGTTGTTGCAACAGCAATGCCGGCAATACCTGCCCCGAGAGACAGGTAAAGTAGGTCTTCGATTCTGTGCAGCTGCAGAGGAGCGACTCACGAACTGGAATGAGTTCGCCCCTGAAAATCTCGGGTGCGCCGTCGCTTGTCAGCCAAGAAATGATTTGGTCGACCCCTGGGCAAGCAACAATGGCTTTGGACAGGTACTTAAGGCTCGTTCGTGCCAACACCCAGATTGGAATGGGCAATCGAGGTTGCGGGCAGAGGTGGGCAGAAAGTGATGAAGTCAGGACTCTGGAAGCAGACTTGTCTGCGGAGGTCGGCCACTATATGCCTCTCGGAGAAGGTCGGAAGCAATGTCCGAGCCGTCGCAAACGACGTTTTGTGAGCGGAGAGCTGCGACTCGTTTCCTTCAGGCCGATGTGCATTTCCCACACATCGGAGTTCGCGTTGTGCCCTCCTTGGGAAGAGTAGCCAGGGTAGTGGGTGCATTTCCTGCAGAGACGAAACGAGGCCATGAGCAGGGGAGACCTTCTGGAGTGGCCGACCGCTTGAGTCGAAGTCCAGTGGGTTGCAGGCGTTGTGGGCTGGGATTTCCCGAGGCCCAACGCTTGGTTCCAAGAGGAAGCAGCTTCCGATCCAAAAGAGAAGGTGACTGCTCGAAGCTCAGCAACGAAGGTGCAAGCGATTCATCAGAGTAATCAAGGGTGGACCCGCACACGGCTCAGGTCGAGGACCTACGAACCACGCATGCGCAGATCCTAGCAGGGGTGCTTTCCCGGGTTTTGCGTGAGATGCTACTGCCAGCGGGTTTTAGGTGCACCTGGCTCCTGCCCTGATGCTCGATGCCAGCTTCCATGACAAGTCCTGTCCCGATTTGATGGCTCTGACTCGCATAACTTCGTGAATATTGTGGCGTCTCGCTTAAGGCCGGTCCGCACAGCTGAGGGGGAAAAGGACAGCCGACCGCCGAAGTGAACAAAGGAAGATGTCATGCCATTGCAGAGCTGTCGTTACAGGTCGCGTGACTTCAAGCAGTTGCATTGTGGGCAAAGTGGTTCTAAAAGCCGGTTTCGGCCCCCGCCAGGACGTAGAGTCGCAGAGTTCTTGAACGGCCTGGAAGCCATGTGGAAGCGATGCCTTGCAGCAATGGGACTTGCTACGGTGGGTGTGCACGGACAGTTCTCTGTCAGTGACAAAGTCTACACTCACACCTGGCTGACCAAAACAGCTTTGCCTTCCAAGCGCAGTGACCTCACTGCGACAACAGTGGGGGAATCCATTTACCTCATAGGCGGCTGTGCCAACGATCAAGAGTGGGCCGACAATTCCGGCATGTACTTGTGCACCGGGATCTCCAAGGCAACCGAGAAGTACACGCCTGCGACCGACAGCTACGAGACATTGGCAGAGGCACCTCGAAGCCGATATCGTCATGCAGCTGCAGCAGTTGGCGGCCGAATCTACTTATTTGGTGGCTGTGCCATTGATGACAGCATCATTACAGACATCGATGTTCTGGACACCACCACCGGCAGATGGTCGACGGCAGGAAACTGGCCAAATGCTACTTCGGATTTGTCTGCCTTTGCACACGACGGTAAGATCTATGTGCTCGGAGGATACAATCGCCCGGATTATCTCGCTATGACCACCGTGATGGTCTTCGACCCGTCGCAATCAGGCAGCGCAGCTTGGTCCGAGGCTCCTTCTCTGCTCCAGGGCCGTGGAGATGCGGCGGCAGCGATCTCAGGTGGGAGTTTCGGAAATTAGGGTACCTTATTTTGGGGGTCCTTATGATAAGGATCCTACTATTTAGGGCACTATATTAGGGTCCCCTATTTTCGGAAACCCCCAGGTGAGGTGGCCTTCGCCTTGGGTGGTTTCCACCATGGCAACTGGTCCTACCCGATGGATCACTTGGAGGTGCTCTTCTTGAACAACGTGGAAGGTGGCTGGAAGGAGCGCACGACTATGGATGTAGCACGTGGGGATAAGGCCGCCGCTGTGCTGAATGGCATGCTTCACATCGTCGGCGGCGAGTCCAAAAATCCGGCTGAGCAGTCGGTCGCGCTGATGGACGTGGAGGTGTATGACACAGTTACTGACAGCTGGTACGATGGAGGCAGCATCCCATCACACCGGTTCCGGTTTGTTGCCGCAGCACTTGGCGATTCAATTTACATCTTTGGTGGGCAAGGCTCACTCATGGGTTCCTATGGCATGGTGGGCAGCAAGTACCCTGTCCTGGACACGGTGGAACAGTACAGGGAAACAGTGGCCCCAGCGTCCGTAAGCGTAGCATCACCGATCAGAGCTACTATTCTGGGATTGTTTTCAACCCTGTTGGCATGCTTGGGGCAATGACGGGGCTTCGGGCCTTTAGCCAACTGCAGCGTGTCTCGCGTTTGGGCGCTTGTGGCTAGCTACTAGGAAAAAGATACAAGTTTTCAAAATCCCTGCGGCAACTGCTGGGCCTTGCCTAGTGGAATGTAACACGCAGAAGTGAGCTACCTCTCAAGTCTTCCACGAAGACCTTGGGTTCATCTGAGCTCTGGAAATCGGCATGAGATCTTGTCATGCTGGGGTCCGTCCACGGCTGTCTCTTCGTGGCTCTTGACCCGTGCGACTGCCCCACTAGCTGCCAAAGCAACCCGCTGAACCGGACCTGGCACGGACAACGCACGAGGATTAAAGGAAGTCTGCACGGATCGAAAGCAACAAGCACACGACTGGGGGCAAGCGTGATAGACCTGCAGGCAGTGTGATGAGCCTGTGTGCCTGCTTCGTTCCGCCGCAGCTGTGAGCCTCACCCCGAAGCAGCCATGTGAGAACCCCGAATCTCGGCCAGCCTCTTGGCGCCGGGGCACAGAGCTGGGGCGCACCTGGTATGGCGCAGGTCCAACAGTTGGGTTTAGGGTTTAGGGGTGTGACTCAGGGCTGAAAACTTGGAAGGACATCGTTGGCTCTGGGGCTCACACTCAGAGAGTTTTAGGCTTAAAGCGCCAATGCAGGACAGATCGCCGCTGCAGGCCAAAGCCCGCCTGGAGGTCCTGGCCTCCGCGGAGACATTGAGGAGCTCGCAGGCGCAGGAGGAGGATGAAGGTGCCGGATGATTCCGGAGGCTGGGCATCTGAAGCAGCCAGTTTTGTAACGTTACGTGACAGTTATGTGTGCAGTGGAGGCCCTTGTGACTGTTCTTCAAGGCAAGCTCAGAAGGAGGTCGCCCACGCGGGCAGAGTGTTGCTGTTTTCTGTGCTTGTCGATGCCTGGCTCCCCTGCAAGGTCACTCGCCGACTCAGCCGTCTCGATGCCCACAGAGCCCTTGAGACTTTCGCCACCTTGGCCAAGCAGAAGGCTGCTCGGGAGCAGTGCAAGAGGTGTCCGACATGTTTTTCTTGGTGGATTTCCCTCCGACGTGGGGTGCTTCTCAGCCAAGGTGCAGCTGAATGCTTTCCATGCCAGTGCCGTGGTTGCGGCCTGTAGCAAGGAGTGATGGCGGCAGGTTCGTTGCAGGCTGAAATCGTGCAGCCTATTGTCAGGAGAGTCAATGGCAGCAGTCTCTGGCATTGCTGTCGGAGCTGGCTCAGCAGACGATTCAGACGGACGTCGTTGTGTTCAACTCTGTGACTCTATCATGTGCCGCCCTGCCCAAGATTGTCGAGTTGCTTGCTGCAGAGACGGGTTGTGCAACACAAGGCAACATGCCAGCAGTGGGAAACAGCCTTGGACCTCCGCCTTTCAATGCAAGGCGCGCCCTTCTCTCATCGACTGATGCTCTCGTTGCTTCCGATGCAAAGTCCCGAGCCCGCAAGGGAGATCGGTGCCTCCTAACGACAAGACGCACTGCACGGCTTCGAACGCCTGCGCCGGTGCTGCACAATGGGAGGACACATTGACATGGAACGCTTGTTCTTTGTGTCCGAGAGGGAGCATGACCTGACAGGAGAGCCTGCGTATCACTGGGATAGCCTTCAAGGATGCAAGTTCAGCAAAGGCAAGGTTCTACGGGCCAGCACTAACTTAGCGTTCTTCTGGTTGGCTCTTTAGACTTTAACTTTTTGGGTTTCTATATGAACTATAATATCTAGGCTAAAAGTTTAACTTTTAGGAGGGGTTCAGAAGTACGCCAAGCTAACATTATTGCACTAACTGCCTGATGGGGAGATTCCGGCGCAGGTAGCCTGCAACACAGCACTTCGCGCTTGTGGCACGTGGGCGCTCTGGCGATCGGCATTGGGAGTGGCTGCTTCGTTGCGCCGCTGCTTTATAGAGCTTGCCGGCCGTCAGCAGTTCAGCCCAGCAACAGACTTTGTGCACAATCAAGAGATTCGCGTCTTAGGATCAAGTTGCAGCTACAACTACAATTCGCTTGTTAACAAGCGCCTCGCAGTGGCAGCGGTCGCTGCAAAGTGAACAGGCAGGTGCCGTCAGTGTCATGCTTGTTCCGGCTAAGAGGGACATCAAGTCCAAAGGCACGGACATACCTCTCAGCACGGCACGGGCAGGTGACAGGGGTCATCGTCTCGGAGGATCCCATCACAAGCAGTCTGCTGCTCAAAACTAAGCTACTTGCGTTACCAAAGTAACTATGAGTCTCAACTTCGGCACCTTGCCAGATTACTGGCGGTTTGTGCCTTCAGGCGAGATGTGCCCGCGATGTAAATTGCTGCCTTCTTTGTGCCTGCACTGTGGGAATCCTTTGAAGTAGACTGGGTACTCACTTTAGCTTGGGATAGGCCTCCTTCATGGTTTCATGGATTTTGCGCTATGGGCCGTTTGTGGCCAAAAAGACTTGAGCTCCAGTGGGGAGCACTACTACAGGGTTGACTTGGGTTCTATGGTGTTTTGGGCGTTTTAGTCTTTGGGATTTGCATGAGACTTGTGGTGCCGCCCTCAGATCGTTGTGAGTAGTCGAGCCGAGAGAGCTCGTCTAGCGTGTCCGAGTTGCCAGAACCTAAACACATCGTGAGGCATTGCAGGCATAATGATATCAGTGACCTGCCCGACTGAACCTGGCAAAACTCGGCCCTCCTCTTGATTTCTATGACTGTGCAAACTATGTCCGAGGCGCATTGATGGCAGCTGAAGGGGAGGCCGCCCTCTGGGAGGAAGCACTGTCACTACTGTGGACCATGGTCTCGAACCGGTCTCTTGGCTGAGACCAGCTGACTAGTGACTAGAGCCCTGAAAACTTCGAAACCCAGATCTGCCGATGTCTTCAGCTTCAGCACGGCCATCACAGCCTGCACCGCCGGCGGCGAATGGGAGCTTGCCTTGGAGCTTCTCAGCTCGATGAACGAGGAGCCTGGCATCTGCGACTTTCAGCTTTCATTTCGCTCGAGTGCACAAGCTCGGATGGAAAAGAAGGGCTGCATGTTAATGCCTGTAGCTCCAGGCCGTTAGCTGTTGTGTGGATTCATTCCGGTGTGAAGGCACGCCTCTGCCTCTTTACCTTCACACGAGGATACAAGCAGACTCGGAGCGTGTTCCTTGGTTGATTTTGGCCAAGCAGTCCAGGGTCCCACTTCGAAGGTCTCCTGCCCTTGAATGGGAGAGTGGAAGATACCTTTGCATGCAGGAGCAAGTTCGTCCCAATGTCGTGGCCCTGAGCGCTTTGCAAGCTGCGGCGGCTGCCGGGAGCCGTTGGCGCGAAGCACTGGAGACGAGAAGTGCAGGGGTTTAGGGTTTCACGTCCGGTTTCGAAAATGGTTTTGGGTTTGGGGTTTTCTAGGGCATGTACTGTACAAGGTTATGCGGTGCTGAACGATGATCGCCTTCGCCGCCACCAGTACAACTGCGACTCCATCTGCGACTGCTACTGCTGCTGCTGATGCTTGAGCCACTGCTGCTAGACCACGGCCTACCGCTGCCACTGACACCCCTACTCCTTTACTCCTACCCCTCCTCCTGCTACTACTCCCGCCGCTGCTGTTACTTCTATTAGACATTAATCATCACCATGAAACTGCATGCGACAGCGCAGATATTTTGTGGCAGCACCCTGCACGGTTTGAGTAACCTCAGGAGCTGTTGGCTACTATGGTCGAGACAACTCAGGCACCGAACGCCGGCGCCCCGGCTGTCTCAGCACAGACATATGCTGTCGGTGCTACTTGTACTGTACTGGCTTGAAGGAGATCACGCTCCTGGCAGTCATCGATGCCTGCGGTTCAGGCGGCTTTCAGCTTCCACCTTTCGCCGCTTCGCCGCTTGGCACCTGTCACAGCACCTCTCATTCTGTCAGGCCAGACGTGGAATGCAGCCCTGGGGCTGCTGATGTCGGCTCAGGAGCTGAGGCCGACGAAGCGCAGCGGCGACCGTAGCCTGACGGCCAAGTGCCATCCTGCGATTCAGATGCCAGGATTCGACTCTCCCAAGCCAGCTACACCGTCGCCACTCGGCCGAAACGCAGTAACGGTCCTGAATTCCGTATCCCCAGACTCTCACATGCAGTTGCTCCTCTGCATGCCGTGAGAATGCCACGACTGCAGGCCATGAGCGCATTCGAAGCGGGCATCTTGCCTTCGTGCTCTGGTGCTCAGGCTTGGTAAGCGCAATCCGTGCGGTGTCAGCCTGCAAGGACGTCAGTGGGAACAGGCTCTGTGCATCTTGCGTTCTATGCCATCAACGGCCTTGATGCCAAATGAGCGTCTCGGCGCCGGCTAAATGTTTCCATGTCAGCGGCTCGGAAGCATCGTCGTTCGATGCCTCGGGTCTGCAGGATATCACTCTCGGCCACCACGCTGGCTTGTCAAAGACACGCAGGCAGATCGCAATCAAGCAGGACCAAAGCTAGTCAATTAGAACGCGCTCGGCCAGGTTGGGCCATCGTGCTGCAGCTTCTCCCTGGCACAGGGTCCGCGAAGGCCTCCAGATTTACACAGATCAATTACTGTAGCCTTTGTTTCTGCATTCGTGCGCATGCCTACGCACATTATGGAGTAGTGCACGTTCATGTCCTCGTTGGTATGCCGCCACATGTCGGCTGGCTGAAGCCAAGGCCCCGGCGACAAGTAGCATGTGGACACATCCTATCGGAAGCTTCTCAAAGTGCACTGCAAGTATAGCATGTAAAGTTTTGTGTAGGCTCGCACCATGTGGGCTTGTCTCTACGATTTGTTCTCGCTGTAGCCATCGTTTAGCCGCATGTCGTGCCGACTCACTTCGAAGGGCAACACAAGCCAAGTTCACAATGCCCTGAAGGACGATGCCAGCAGTAACGAATTGGGCATTTGTATGCTGAATTTTTCAACAGTCAGCGCTGAAGCAATGAATTGCAAGTTCTCCTGCTTAATGACTTACTGCGTTTTTGTTGTATCTATGTTGTATCGAGCTATGTACAATGACACTTTGGGACCTAACAGAAAGGCACAGATGGAGCTTTGCAGAAGCTCTGAGGTCGGCTTGGGTAGCGTGAGCGCTCTGCGCTTGGCGGCCCTTCTGGGCAGCTGCCACTTGTCCAGGAATTTTCTTATGATATATATATATATGTAGGGGCCTGAATAATGAGCATGTGGTTACCTCAAAGATATTCGTAGCGAGGAACCTCAAATAATCAGGAGGCCACAAACATATGGGCGGTCTAGGGACTGGCTTCCTGCTTGCCCGAGCGCAGGTGAAAATGTGGAGCAGTGGGTTGTGGCGCTGTCACTGATGCTCCTTCTCACAAGCAGCCGAGTCCAATCCAGCGTTTCCCGGCCGACAGAACAGAGTTTGGATTTTTTCCGTCGCGGCGAACAAGTGACTGAGAGAGATAGAGAGAGGAGAGAGCTCTCATAAAAGCGGCCGAGCCTCCAGAACAAAACTCCGTTGGGGAGGGGGGGGGGGTTGCACCCCTCAATGAACAGCGGGTGCGCGCTCGCGCACGAAGGAGGTGGCCGAACCTCCTACCCTGTAGAGAGAGAGAGAGAGAGAATCGGTAGTATTCGGCAGGTGTTTCGATGTTGACATGTCTACACATTGACAGGTGCTTCCACTGCTGTCGCGTTTCCTGTCCTGCATCTAGCGGAGGCAATGACCGGCAATGCAGCACTCAGTGCATGTGCAGCTGCTAGCCGATGGCGGCAGTCGCTGAACATCTTAGGCCTCGACAGAGGTAGCCCGGCTCAATCCATGCAGCTTGTTGTGAAATCGAGTAAATCTTTCACTGAAGTATTCAGGTGTGCGGCCTTCTGTGGCTGGGCGACAGTTTCATCTTCGTCGTGCCCGCTGATGAAATGGCGAATAATTGGTATGTTTTCATCCTTGCGAGGCCATTACTTTCAGTTCGATGCTGAGCGCGTGCAACAGATCTGGTCATTGGCTGCATGCACTCGGGACTTGCTGCCGTGATTGCAAAGTCTGCCTAATTCACTTCCATGTCCCACAAATGTGGGGCTACGCGTCGAGGACCGTGAGGATGCTGCAGACGTGGAGAGTTCAACAGACGAGTTTCGGGGCAACTGTCACCTGACTAAACCGGAGCGGCTACTGCAGGCCTTTGCATGCCCCTTTTGCCTTTCTTGAGGCGGCAATTCTTTGCTGTGCGGAGCGGGGCTACTGGATGTTGGCACTTCGCATGCATAAGGCTCCGGGCATTACCGAGATGCAAGCATTGCACGCCACGTTTTGAAGAGACATGGTGTGAACTTCACCTTGCAGCAGGAGGAAAGTGCGGGTTTGGAAGCACTGGCCGGGATTGCGCTCGCGGCTGAGCTTATCAGATTCGAGGCTGCTGCCATCCCAGCCTGATGATTGGATTTGACAGGCAGGCCTGCAGCCAACGCAGCGACCTGATGCTACCCATGCTTCCGTTGCTAGACTGTTTCGAAGCGTCGATGCTGAGCGCTCTGAAACATGTCTATTGGCATGCTTGCTTTCAGGTGATCGGGGGGGGGGGGCAGGGCGGACGCAGAAATCGAATTGTGTTCTTTTTCGGCACTCGGCTCAAGTTGTCGATAGCGACTTGTGTGTGTGTGTGTGTGTGTGTTTGCATGTGTGTGTTGTCAAGGACTTGTGCGCGTGTGTTTGTTCATCCCCATTATTTTTGTCAGACATGTCAGGCTCGGACTTGTGTTGCGGGGTCGTGTGCAACCGTATTGTTTTTTTTGGTGGTTACTGTAAATAGTAAATACGCAAGCCGATACCATGGGCCGGTTTTTTCAGCGCTTCTACAATGACGACGAGCCAGCAAGGGCCACAGCTTCCAGATGCCAAGTTGTGAGAGATTTTGGCATCGGCATCTTCTCGGGCAGCGCGAGGGGAGATATTCTTTTAGCTTTAGCATTGCCGCCTGCGGGTAGGTGCTCCACGTCTGCTCAGGGTACATGGGTAGTTACACTTTTCAGAACTGTTTGAGCTTTTCATCCATCGGATTTCTCAGGTCTACTGTTGTGCAGCTTGCGGTGCGCATTTCGCGCAGTACAAGGTGCGATTTTTGCACACTGTCACAGACCATGTCACAAGGCTTTTGCAGCTTCGCAGAGTGCGACAGGATTTGCTGTCCACGAATTTCCGGGGCAGGCCTGTCAAACCTGTGTGAAGTCAGTGTGTAGTGCAGTGTGCAGCGCATGGCACTTCCACCACTCGTTTGAAGACTCCAGGACAGGCAACGCACTGCTCTTCAACCAAGTGATCAATGTCACGGCAGGACAGGCAACTGCATTTAACACAGGGGGTGTGAGACGCAAGATTTGTGTCGGGAGGACCTTTGGAAGACAGTGTGATGACCACAGGCGAGGATGATACCTGCAGGGTATGGGATGTTTCCGATTCGCTGCGCCTACTGACTTCTGACTATGTCGAATGTTCACGAACTTGCTAGCCATAAACGGGAGGCCAAGTTCAGAATAACCACCCTATACCCTAAACCCTAAAACCCTATACCCCAAACCCTAAACCCCCAAACCCTAAACCCTAAAACCCCCTCCAAGACCGCAGGCTTGCACACGATCCGGTGCCTCTTTTGCGTGGTCTGTCCTCACCTTACCGGAACCCTGGGGCTGGTGTTTCATCGCCTCTTGCAGTCGACTACCGTTACTACTACTATAATTGCTACTTGTATTCTTGGGTTTTTATGAGTTAATTTGCTATTACTGTCATTATTATTATTATTGCTAGTACTGTTGCTATTGCTGTTACTATTCCTATTACTATCACTTTTATTCTTACTATAGTACTCGCACTCGTACGTCTAGCATTAGCAAGATACTGTTGTTATTATTATTAGTACTATTGCCTTTTGGTTCCAGTTTGACTGGCTGCAAGGTGAAGAGCGTGTCGGATGGAAATATGAGGTGCTCGCTGCAGTATTCGTTGATTCGTGCTTGCATTCAGAGAATTTTGCACGGGAGTGCTTGGTGAAATGCCGGTGGTTCTGACAGGTTGCTTTCGAGGAGGATCAGAAGTACAAGGCCAAGCTTGCAAGTCCCAGCGTTTGGTTGCAAAGTAGCCTTGCGCAGGAAGGCCGCTTTATCCTCGAAGAAGAGCTGCTTTCATCCACAGTGCAGGCTTCGCTGTCCTGAAAATATCAGTTCTCTTCTATATATATATATATTATACATATGTATATATATATATATATATTATAATATATGTTGCAGGGGATGAACTGAGCTCCATTGTGGGGCGCCCAGAAGTGGCCATTTGGAGCTCAGAACGCACCGATCCGAGTTCTTCGGCCTGTCCCTCTGAGGCCGCCGTCCCTGGAAGCTGCCGTATTCTTGAAAAGTCCGCTCTTTTCGAAGAGTGTACACACCTCCCAGACCAAAGCAAAGAGCTGTGATTTTCTTGGGTCATTGTGGGCATGCTGCTGTCCGCAACGTCGCATGCAGAGAAATACAGCTATGCATTTGCGAGCTATCTGGGAGTTCCCGAAAATAGTATTTTGGGGTCTTATAATAAGGATCCTACTATTTAGGGTACTGTATTAGGGTCCACTGTTTTCGGAAACCCCCATCTAGCGAAACTAGCCTGAGAGCTGCTCACAACGACCCTCGCAATGCTGCGACGGCCAAAGTGCTGTTGCCCCGTGTACATACCTTCGCCAGAAAGCATGCCTTGAGGTCAATCTCAGGGTGAGATTCCGATTGATGTAAACTGCTAATCATACCGCTGCTACCTGGCCGCTTTGAAATTCGAACCTGATTCTACTATTGAAGGCCTGGTGTCTCCTCTTGGAACCTAGGCTTTCGATGCACTTGCCCTTTTTCATGTTTTTTCGCGCACAGAGCCTGCATGTTTGTGCTGGCAGCTTTTTGTAGGGTCCTGCCTGCAACAGGTGGACGTAATAGGTGCATGGAGGTGGATTGCGGCATGGTCCGATGCACAAGCCCGACCATATGAGGCCTGCAGCGCCCCCTTTTCAACCGTGGAGCTGGAATATCCAGGCGCCATCTCCAAGGAAAGGGGCCGTCAGCTCGCGTTCGGTCCTAGGTTCCGCTCCCTGCAAGTCGTGAGGGTATTGCCATTGCAGCTTTTGCGGGCCGTGGACGCGGCTCATCAGAGAGGTTTCCCCGTCTGAAGGCTCTATGAACCAGGGCAGGGCTGAAGCACGAAGCAACAAGGCAGTGAAAGGCCCCACGCTATGCCATGCGAGCCTCGCCGGCGGTCCACGTTTTTGCCTTCGCAGTGAGGGGCCGAGAGAAAGTCGGTAAAAAACAACAAAAACAACCTATGTTTGGCAAGCATCCTGCGCCCTTGAACTCCCAAGCTTCACACACTGACGCCCCAGCTCCGGTCCCTGACTTAAATACATAACTCTAGACTCTTGGGACACCCTAAGACAGCCTAAGGGTCGCTAAGGGCTTGGCCTGGCTGTGTCTTAAGGACTCGGCGCATCCGAACCTTTGCACTCTCGCGAGCTCGGTGGCCTCGGCAGGCGGAAGCCTCAATGTGGCCTGCGCCTCATCCGTGCGTGGGTATATACAGCAGTGTATGATATAATATCTATATGAACGAGACTAGATTAGTATAGATCTATCATGATATGCTCTACACTCTCTGCATCTACATATATGTGTATATATACATACTATGCACATACACATTCACATCTATATACATGTACAAGCACACGCACAGAAATAAATAAATAAATAAATATATTATATTACAATATAATTATATATATATATATATTATATATTATATATATATATTATATACATATACATATATATATATATATATATATATATATATATATGATCGCTTGCCTGGCGTTCAGGTCGGCCTGGGCTACGAAGAGGTCTCCAACTCAGCTCCACATGCACACTGGACTCGCTGAGAAAGCTCGGGCCTTTGTGTAGGATTTAGGGTTTACGGTGTGCGTTCCGATGGCGCCAGGAAATGCCTTTCGGAGCAGTTCCCCGCGAGGTGCGTCGTATTGCTCACGACGACGGGGGTGTTTGCTTAGTTTCGCTCATCGCCATCTGCCAGGGCGACGACGACAAAACCGCCACAACCCCAAAACACTGCAGCAGCAACAACAACAGCAAACAGTTGCAGCCACAAAAGCAAGCGGCATCAGTAGGAACAGCAGTAGCACCATCAACAGCAACCACTACAAGCAACGACGACTAGGCCGACGACGACAACCGTCGGCAACACGCAGTACTACTGCTTGCTACCACTACCGCCACCACTAGCACCACAGTCGCCACCACCACTGCCACCACCAGACCATGACCATAGTGACCAGTACCGCCACCACTACCACCGCCGCTACCTCGACGACGACTCTACTACTCGACTTCTCACCATGGTACCTTACCTCTACCGCCCCACAGAACCTTAGTAGCACTCCCGGCTACACACAAAGCCTGGTAATCCCCAGAATACTCCTAGAAAGTCCGTGCGAACGCCCGGAGACTCGGAGGCATTGGACTCCATCGCGGAGGCCTTGGCCGAGCAGGGCAAGGCCTGGTACTGATATCATTGTTGCTACTGGTATTAATCATAACATAGTGTAGAGTTTTTGATTGTGTACTCCAATATACATTTTCTATATGTATAGATATTCCGTTGGACTGTGTGAAAATTGGGTTTGCCGGCTTGTGCGGGAGATTTCAGGGGTTTTCTTAGGAGGTTTCGACGCCCTTCACGGGGTAATTTAGGCTGAGTGTTTGGGAGGATCTCGAGTTTTGCTTTGCTGATGACGGCTGGACTAGTGCATTAGGCCAACGCCATGCAAGACGAACCCGAGACCGGGTGCGGAAGCATGTAGACATCGGCCATGTGGTGCGACCTGGGGTGGTGTGGTCTTGGTGGCAACATGCCTGTTACTGCATGAGCTGAGCTGAGGCAAGACAAGTAGAAGGGCAGCGCATGGCGGCAACGCTGCAATGCATGACCAAAGAGGCGGGCCACAGCTGTCAGAGATTCCGGCCACAGACGGGCGGCAACCATGCAATAAGAGTGGCTGCAGCTCTTGAGAGAATTGGGAACGGCAAGAAGCTCAACCAAGCTCAGTAGTGATTCACTTTTTTTTGCAACAAAAGCAGCGGCTTTGGCAGAACCATGCCCCCGGCGACGGCGATGGCAGCGACAATCACAGCACCATCCACATCAACATCCCCACTGCCATCACCACCACCGCCATCATCGTCATCTTGACGGTCATCGATCGTCATCGGTCGTCATCATCGTTTTGAAACTAAGATGGTTCTCATCGTTATCATCAGCAGCAAGAGGCAAGAACGAGCAGCAATAGCTGCATCAACAGGAGCAGGGGCAACAACAAGATCAACGATGTAGCAACCGCGCCAGAAGTTGCAGCAGATTCATACCTATACCCCAGACTCGATGAGAAAACTCCTCAGTGACCACATCGCACTACACTGCAGTTAGAAGGCACATGATGGTGCAGCCTGCAGGATTGCAAGAAGACGAAGGGCTTGAAGAAGGTACCGCAGCTGCTGATGAGTTGCTGAAGTTGAGTTCGACACGCTCTGCTTTGCTGTTGACGTTTCCACCTGGAACTGCGACTTGCTGCATTTGAGTTGATTTGAAAAGTTGCTGACCCCCTGAACGCGCTGGGAGCATAAGCCATAGCATAGCCGTGGAGATTGCGCTGACCCACTGGAGCGCCTCAACCGCTTTTGCCCCAGCCGGAGCGGGTGAGGACGCGTCGTTTGTGTTGAGTGAGTTCCCCTGGCCGCGTTGGAGGCTAAACTGCGACAAGTGTGCCCGACTAGGACCGCTCAAGTAAACGAATAGTTATTGCAACAAGAACGACAAACAGAACAACAATCCGCATCGGGCGGAAAGACCGGGAATGCGCACACTCATTTTCTGCTGATCTGTATCCTATTTGCCTGTTACTGCTTGTTTTCTGTCCAATTCATGCAAGTACAGTATCCGTGGTCTTAACTGTAGGTAGGAAGGTCGGAATTGGCGAAGAAGGCGAGGTGCCACGGTTCAGGGTTTGCTGGCATTGAAGAGTTCGCTTGAGGGCAGTCGCTTTGCAAGCAGACCGACTGCGTTGGATGCATTGGATCCTGCTTCCGTCGAGCTTTTGCTTGAGTCCTTCCCCACATTCCGGCATAGCTTGCAGAGATAGCTTCCATGGTGTACGTCAACATCACGCTGCCTTCAGGAGTGACGGTTTTCCGCGGATTCGTGCCGAAGGAAACTGAGACACTGTACCTGAAGAAACAGTTTATGCCTGAAGTGGCAGCCGAGAAGAAGTCCTTGTTCTACGGAAAGGTGGAGTTGGAAGATTCGGTGCCGGTGGGAGACTACCTGCCCGAAGGCCAGACAGAGCATGCTTTGACAGCACTTCTGAGCCGTTGCCGAGTCACAGCGCCAGTGGACGGCGCATGGTTCCAGGACCCCTGTTATGTGAAACAGGTGGGTAGTTGTCAAAGTTAAGGTCCCTTTTGGGGTACTCTAAATAATAGGTGCCGTAGTATAATAAGGACCCCAAAAAGGGTTTAGGGAACCACCCAGGTGCAGGAGGGGGATCGACGAGTGTCTTTGTTGAAGGGTGTCTGCTGGTTCACGGCTTGGGCGAGCTTGGATCTGGCTGGTGGTGACTGGCAAGTGTTCCTGAAGGTGAAGAGACAGCCTGAAATTGAGTTCGACACCGACGTGATCGTTTGCTTCAACGACTTGGAGGTAAACACCTTAAGCGCCAAGGCATTCTCGTCTTTGCCAGAAGAGGAGTGGACATTGTTGGAGCTGGGCCCCTTTTGTGGACCCGGCATGCTTGCCGTCAAGCTCAAAGGTGAAGATTGCCGGCTAAGGGGACAAAACTCGAAGTACGGATTGTACTTGGATCAAATTGTTGCACAGCCATCTTAGGCTGAGCCAACACGCGCGTGGCGCATTCAGAGATTTTGACCGAACTTGCTTTGAAGCAGCCTGGATAGAGATGCTGCCGCCATTAGTGTGATCACGTACAGGCTGAGCACACTGTGCGGCAGCCAAGCGCTGGGACATAGCTGTGAAGGATGTTATTATGCGAGAGACGCCGACAAACTTAATGTAACAGCCAGAGAGTACAAGCCCAGTAGCCGGCATTCAGCATGCCAGCCACCGAAAGGTGCGCAAATTCTTCGCAGCTGGCGACTGAGCTCTAACATGCCACAGCTCACGAGGCGACGAAGCTCTAGGCACTTCCCAGACTCGACCTTCCTTGAGGTTTGGCCTCACCTCGAACATCTTGAGGATGAGGACGCCGATCTGAAATTTGCTAGCGACGGCCGAAAGCATCGAACGGACTTCAGGTCAGTAATGAGTCATCGACTGGTACTTAGTTTCAGGTTGGGTTTCCAGTTGCAGCCGTTCTCGCAGTGAGACCCCCAGCCTTGTGCACGAAGTTCGTCGAGGATTTGGTGCTGGCCATGGATGGCTACGATGTTGTGTGAGCATCTCAGGTCCAATCTTTCATGATCATGACTTGGTTCACTCTTGGAGCTAGCATGTTGGAGTCAGCAGTTGTCGTGAAGCTTCATACCAAACCCTTCTCCGGCGGATCCGCGTCTGACAGCCTAACCGCCCCTAACACCCCGAACATAGCATCCAACACCGGCGCATGCTGGCCTGAAGGCTGGAAACGCCCAGCCTGGAGCATTTGCAGGACACCTTAAGCCCTAAACGTTGAGCCCATGAATCCGTGCCTGCCTCCGTGCGAGCATGCGGGTCGAAACGCGTCGTGGCGTTCAGGATGCCGTGTGTCGGCTTGGCCGAGTGCAAGTGCGCGAAAATCCCTGTGACCCAAACCTGCACTCGCAGGACACCTTCGACCACGTGCAGCGTCGGCTGGGGTTCGGATCTCGTGGTTTTGGGTGGTGCTGGTTGTCGCGGTGGTGGTGATGGTGGTAGCAATAATGCAGATGTGCACTGGACCTCGGTGATGCTGCTAGCTGCTAGGTTGTAGTGCCATCCTTCTTATTCGCTTTTGCTGTATCCTGCTGCTGAGCACTGTCCCGAGGCCAGTGACGAGCCTGCCCACCGGCCCGGTGATTTTCAGTGGCGAGGCAAACTGCCACAGCCCAAGCATCGTGCAATTTCTGCTGCGTGCGGGGTACCTGTTTGACCGGAAGTTCAGGGCTTAAGGATTTGGGAGTTTCCGAAAATTAGGGGTACCTTATTTTGGGGTCCTTATAATAAGGATCCTACTATTTGGGGTACTATATTAGGGTCCCCTATTTTCGGAAGCCCCCATTTTGGTCCAGTGTTAGCAGGAGCTTGCTTTCATCCAGAATTTGCACGGGCCTGTGAACGGTGATGTCACATCCAAGTTCTAACTCCTCTCCCTTCCTCTGCCCAGACCCAAGGAAAGCCCAAATAGTCATAGTGGCAGTGAAACTGGTGGTCTCAATAGTTTAGTACAAATAACCATAGTCTCCATAGGAATCGCGTCAGTAGTAGGTACATGATGATTAAGACTTGCAGTGAACCCAACAGCAACAACCGTACTCAAATTCAGGTATTAAATCATAACATTGAGAGTAGTAACAGTGATCATAACGACGAATATCATCATCTCAATAGTCATGATAGTAGTAAAAGTAGTAGCAACGGCTATCATAACAATTACAGTGGCAAGAACATAAATAGTCAGAAGAACAACAATCATAGCAACAAGTTGCGTCACTACACATTAACAACACCAGAAATACTACCATCTAAAAATTACTCAAAGGTAAGTACAATAACACCTTGTGATTACAGTATTAGTCATAATGCTACAAGTTATAATGGCAGTAATTCCAAAAATGGGATGCGGGATGCTACTGTAAATAGTATTAGAATTGTGGTTAGCCATAGAGATAGCTCTTACAACAACGACAACAATATGACAAATAAACAGCCATAGTCAATAACAGTAACAATAGTTGTAGAATCAACGTTATAGCGTCAATAGTTGCGCTAACCAATATGTATATCATTAATAATTACCATAATTCCACCAATAACAGTAATGCCGACAAAGTCGCATAGGAGAACAGACCCTCCCTAAGGCTGGCCCTTCGTCCACCCTTGGACTGAGCCACCTTTTATGCAGGCGTCTGAGACTTCGAGGGTGGGTTTAGGCTTGAGGGTTAAGGTTTGGTCTAGGGTCTAACTGGACTCCAGGCGGCAGGATTCAACTAATTCGGGTTTCGAGATTATGGTGTCTGAAGAAGCTTCCTGATAATTTGTTTCGTTCAGTGCTGCGTTCTGGCCTGTGACAAGGACCCCTAAACCCTAAACCCTAAGGACTGGTGATTACAGGCCTAACTACTCGTACCGCTACGGCGCTGGCCATGTGCTTCGAGGCGACGAGGCCGGCAGCAGGGCTCACGGGGGCGATGCACGATTTTTTTTTGGGGTTCCTCATTATTATTATTATTATTGTTGTTATTATTATTATTATCAGGATTATAGTATAATGGGCCCCAAAACCCTAGTCTTACTATTGGTATTATAGTATAGTGGGCCCCAAAACCCTAGTCTAATTATTGAGGCAGGGTTTTGGGTGAAGTGCGTTTGCCGGAGTCCTGCCTTGTCATGCATCGCTATCACGGAAGTACTGGGTGGACTTGCAGAGGTATGCGAGCACTGGCGAAAGCATCTTGGGCATCCCGGCAAAATGCCGGGACATCGCTTCGGTCGAAATCGGACTGAGGCCAGATCCTCTAGATGGTGATAGAGGTACATGTGAGAGCATAGATAGATCTGTGAGTTTGGAGGAACTGCCCTTGTTTCTCCCCTTCCTGAACAGCGGTGTTTTCATGGGTCGGGCGCGGTACTCGGCTTTACACAGGGATGCTCCCTGCTTCGGCCACCTTTATTGTACTGCACCTTTTCCACAATTGCACCTTCTCCACAGAGTTTTGCCCGTGCCTCCGAGGTAGCGAGCCTCCGAGGGCTTTTTGCCCTGGCTGCAGAGGTCCTTCGGCTCTTCGGGGATTTTGCGGACCAGGCGCGGCCAGAAGCACACAGGCCAACACCCCACCCCACCCAGATCCACTCAGCCAGCCTGAACCATAGCAGGCGCTGGTGACGTCGACTGCACTGCACGCCAGCTTGCTGGAGAGACCCTGGGTGCGACGTCTCAGAGACGGAAATCGGAAAGAGGGCGGGCGGTTGAGACCTCACAACAATCTGCCTTCAGGTCCCTCTCTGCGTGGCCTGGCTGGCGAGATTGTTCTTTTTCTTAAGCAGAGGTTAGAGTCGGGTAGAGGGCTGTGCAGAGACGTCGCCAGGATCATACCGGAGAGCTTCTCGCTTCCCTCCACGGCGTGCAGCTTGAGGCGCTGGCGAGGTGCGGGCTTCCCTCCTTTCCCTTCAAAAGGGTAGTTTTCTAAATTAGGGTCCCTTTTGGGGTCCTTTTTATAAGGGTGCCGTACTATATTGGGGACAAAGGACCCTAATTTAGAGAACTACCCAAAAGGGGACTTTTTTGCCGGCTCCAGAAGCCTCAGGCGCCTGAAGGCTCCTCCTGTCAGGAGCCCAGCTGTGAAATCCTTCGCTGAAATAGAGACGGTTGTAGTCGAGGTCTGCAACTTTCCGGGCAGAATGGCCTGCATCCCAAATTTCGCAGTTTCCCGCGAGCTCTGTCACACGAGGCCAGCCTCCTTTGGGACAAGAACGGATAGATCAAACAGAAGATGAAACAAGCACAAGACCGCACATGACAGATCGAACACACAGAGCACTGCTGAGGACCATGGCTTCTACGCCGCTGCAGCAGGGCAGCGAGGGCCCTGGAGGAAGCACACTTCAGCCGATCAGAACCTATCACGACAAGCGCAAACATCTTCGCCTCTTTGACGAGATGCGCAGGGCACAAAGATCTAGAAGCCTTAATAATTAGAACAGGGCTTTGCGTATATATTGTGCCATAACTATATAATAAGGAGCTCCCAAACAAGGCTTTGCGGTTATATTATGCTATAACTCTATAACAAGGAGCTCCCAAAAATAGCATTCGAGCTTCTTGCTCGGCCGGTTCCGAGATGGAAGCTGAAGCCAAGTTCTGAAAGGCCGGGCCCTGGCGGCTCCAAGTGGAGTTCGGTTCGGCTCGAGGCCTCGGACCTTTGGACTTCAGGGTTTAGGGTTTTAGGGTTTTAGGGTTTCGGGTTTAGGGAAAGCTCCGAGCTGAGCCGCAGCCGCAAAAAAGCCGCCATGCAGAGGCCGCGCGGCGCGAAGACCGGCCGCCACCGCTGGTGGCAATGCGCTCGGCCTTCGTGAGCTCTTTCTCATCGCAGCCCAGAATCTTGGATGCCATCGTCTCGTTCCTGCACGGCTGTCGGAGTTTTCAAGGTCCACTTCAACGGCGATAAGAAGCCGTACTTCGAAGAGAACTGTCACGACTCTGTCAGTGCAGAGGCATCCGGGCATTCTGCAAGCTGAAAAGGGCTCTCCCGTGTGCAATGCAGGGGCAGGTCCTGGGCTCTGTGCCTGGGCAGTGTTGGCAGCCCAGCCCATCGCTGCATCCGCAGAAAGCACTGGAATCAGCTTGCAACTCCTGCCATGTGTGTGTGTGTGTGAGCACTTTGAGTCGCACCATTTAAGTTGCAGAAGGGTCTGCGTGTCACTCCTGATCGCAAGGCTCCCTGATGGACACCGACCACCAAATGGAAGCCTTCATCACCACTCCAACTGCGACGGACCGTGCTGCAGTTTTGCTCATGACCTGTTTGTCCCGAGTTCGGTTACTGTTTGAGGAGACGCGTGTGCACATGCGGCAGGCCCCTTCCTTACCACACCTCTTTCTAAATGCGCGATGATTTGCCGAACCCGACCCAGAGCTCGAGGTGCCTGTGCCGGCGTTTTGCTGGCGATTTGGCTGGCGCTAAGGCGGCTAAGGCTTGCTTCGGTTCTGATGGCATGCCAGGCTCGCGCGGACACCGCCGCATGTGGCACGCTTGCTTGGGATCTCGGCCAGCTTGGGCCTGAACACGGCCAGGGAGGCAGATCTGAAACAGCAGAGTGCTTTGTGAGTCTGTGACCTGGGGACGACATGGGTGGGGCAGGTGGCCGGCCGGCTGTTGTCACACGGGCAAAGCATCCTGGCCACTGGGCCCAGCAGAAACACCCAGCAGCTGTCGCAGAGAGCTGAAAGTCAGAAGCTCAGGTGCACCGGCCGGGCCCGCCGAACCTGCCCAAACTCACATGGAGGGCTTCAAGCCCCAGCTCCTGGCGCTTGGGAGCAAGGCCCCTGCTACATCGAGGCTGAAGAGCGCTGAGAAGCCTTGAGAAAGGCAATGCCTGGGAGAAGTGGAGCTCTGGCAGCAAGGCTCTTACGACCAGCGCAGACACAGCACACGTCCCTGAAGTCGGAGTTCTAAGAGGGAACCCTAAACCCTAAACCCTAAACCCTAAACCCTAAACCTGAGCAGTCAGCCAAGGTTTGATGCCCGAGGGCCACAAGAGGGGAAACTACCGCCCGGGCCCCAGAGAGGCCCAGGCCGGAGAGCTTCATTTGGTTTCCGAAATTCGGGTAACACCTTATTTTGGGGTCCTTATACTAAGGATCCTAGTATTTGGGGTAGTATATTGGGGTCCCCTATTTCCAAAAATCCCCATTTGATCGTTTGTCGCCGCATGAGGACTCCCGAACATCTTCAGAAGGCACAGGAGGCGGGAGCAGGGGAGCGTCTCGAACGTCCACGGTGCACTCGCTCCAGATCGGAAAGCGCGCCTGAATGCGCCTGACGTCTTCCAACCTACATATTCTTCCAGCTCACTGAACATCCGTCCATGCCATCTACAGCCCCTAGGCTCAGGCCCTAGATGCATCTCTATAAGCAGCCTGGGAATGAGATCTGAGAGCAGATCGCACATGGCAATGTGCACGCTGACAGACTTCTCATCTTCGCAGAATAGTCTGAAGCCTTTTCCCGCGTTTGCTTGTCACTAAGTGACCAGGGTTTACTTTCCTGCCGGCTTGGTGGTGAAGTCGCACCAAACCGTTTAAAGGTTCAAGGACCAGAGCTGGGTGAACGGAGTGTTGCAGAAACACCCACACCAGTGGCTTGAGTCTAGCGAACCTTTGCAGCACCGATCTCGAAGTCTCGAAGCTTGTGCCAGGGCGGCCACCAAGCGCTTGGTGCCGTTCTGCTGGACAGCGACAGCATGGCCTGTGTGTCGGTATCCTCGGCTCCGCGTTCGTCGCCGGAAGGTGGCAGATATGCCTGCTCAGGAACCGACCCTTCCAGCAAGATTACTGCCAGATGCCAATGCCTCACGAGCCCATCGGTGTCGCCATTCTCGCGGGTTGAGGGTTTCGGGTTGGTAAAGCAATGCACGAGCCTTCTCACAAACGAGGCTCTGGGAGTTGAGGGCCGGCTGGTCCTGCCTTGCGCTGCAAGCTCAGACCTTGAGGTGAAAAATGGGGCTTTCCGGAAATAGGGGACCCCAATATAGTACCAAAAAATAGTAGGATCCTTAATATAAGGACCCCTAAATAGGACCCCTTGTTTTCGGAAACTCCCAAATATGAAAAGCGTGATCAGTATGAAGTTCCGGAGTTCGGTCGCACACTTCCTTTATCTTCCTTTACTCTTCTACTCCTAGGGCACATGTGGTGCACCGTAATTGAGGGAGGTCATCTAGTTCGGACGTCATACTGTTGTATGCTAACATGTGCTATCTCATGCTAAACCCTGAACCCACTAAACCCCAGAATTCAGGGAAGAGGGCTTAGCAACAATACTTGCGCGATGCTCCATGTCCGGGTTCAGGCCGCACGGAGAAACTTCCACTGGGCTGATGGCGGCAATCTACGACCCTGCCGACTTTCAGGACTGGCGTAACACTTCCCCCAAATCTCTCGATCTGTGCATCTATCGTCTATCCACCTATCATCTATCTGTTCCCAAGCACTTATCTGTCTGTCTGGCCGGCTGTCTGTCTGCCTGCCTACTCCTTTCTGCCTACGGATGTAGTTCTGCTTATGTCTGTGCATCCATGTATACATCTGTGTACCCCCATAATGACACATGCAGGATTAAGTAAATTTGCAGGTTGCCGCGTAACTCAGATATGTGTTCGGACGCCGTGTATCTACATACATAGTAGGGAGAGAGACAGGGAGAAGCATATGCACACCTAGAAACACACATGCATACCATGCCATGCCATACCAGCATAATTACATACATACCGTACTATGTATGTATTTATGTATGTATGTAAGTTTGTATGTGTGCATGTATGCATGTACATGTGTATGCATATGTGAATTTCAGAAAATGTGAGCCAGTTCCATCCTGAAGATGGTCAGATTTGATGACGCCAACACAAGAGACCCTAGATGTTCAGAAATTCTCAAGAACGCCTACAAAAAACACATAGACCATTCTATAGTATACATGCATGCATACATACATGGGTAACAAGAATAGGCAAGACCGAGAGTCTTGACCCTTGCAGGCATCCTTCGCACAGGAGGACGAGGTTCCACTGCTTGTACTTTTACAGTAGATGCCTGCAGGTATGTTGTTCTGCAATCCTAGGCTGCAGCGGTGAAGTTGCGAGCACCTAGCATCATGACCTTGAGCTTCAGCGTGCGGCAGACATTAGACCCGAGCAGAAGAGCTGTTTTTCAGGCCTCGAACGTGCAGAGTGCGACAAGTAGCCGCCGGGCTGCTGCCTTGCGGTGCGTGGCTCGCACTTTGCATTGACGCACTGTCAGCTTCATGTGGAAAGGCCTGTAGATACGTGTGTGCTAAGGGCCGCGGAATCCCGCAGCGCTCTTTGCAGTAGCTCACCGTTACGACCTCAGGCAAAACTTGATCTTAGGTCCGCACGCATTCATCATGCATGGAGACAGGCAAGAATCGCTTGCACACGTCAGTGGCTTTCAGTCTTGAGCGGGTGCATTCTCGCCGGCCGTGGTCACTCTAGTAGGAAGCCCCCGGAAAGACATGTGCTGCTGAACTCGGAGTTTCGAACTATAGGCCAACAATTCATATCCGAAGAAGCATCGGTTCGTAGGCATCGAGTTCGAAGGTTCAGCAGCACATATTTCAATCTGCCAGACCAAGCGCAGACATGGCGAACCTGCGGGTGGTAAACCTGGCAGGTGAGCTGATCCTAGAGACCCTTCTATGCGAAGAGAACGACTACGGCGGTCCCGACCTAGCCGTCTACCTAGGGAAGTTGGTGCAAGAGCGCACCGGCTTCCCATCCTTCCGGATCGCGCTTGTGGCAGCGGGCAAATCTTGGCACCAGTTGGGACAGCCAAGTGAAGTTCAAGCCGTGTTTAATCAGGCAGTGAATGACTTCTCAGCAGACCTACTGACTCCTGGTTGCAATTCAAGCCATGAGCTGTTTGAAAAATCTGACCCCTTGCTGTAACCCCAATTAGGCAAGAAGGAGAGGTCGATGCCGCAGAGGCATTGCCAGGCGGGGCATGTCATAACCCGAAGGGCAGGCAAGGTGCTGTTGGCTCTTCGGGGTTTCAGGACTTTGGGACTTTGCAGGTTCAGGTCGCTGTGACAGAGCTCAGGACAGCGATTCGGGCACGAGACTTCGAGGCTGCCAGAGAGATCCTGGAGAAGCATCAGGACCCAAACTGCTGCGATGGAGATGACTGCGCGGCTCGCGTCGCCTGTATCGCTGGAAGCGGAGACATTCTAGAGATTCTGCTGCAGGCCAGGGGTGCAGCAGGTCAATAGCTGCGGTGTTGGAAGTGTTTGGAGTTAACCCTAAACCCTAAACCCCTAAACCCAAACCCTAAACCCTAAACCCTAAACCCGGCCGAGGCCGGGGCGGACAGAGATGCAAGGAATGCAGACGGAGAAGGTCTCCTACACACAGCAGCCGCCCACGGCAGCATGGAGTGCGCTCGACTTTTGCTGGATCTAAATGCCGACATCGACGAGTCTTCAGAAGAAAGTGGCTTCACTGCGTTGCATATGGCAGCAAGAAGTGGCCAGATGGATATGTTTCTTAGTTCGCCAATACACAACCTTTAAACTTTTTGGGTTCTTGCAATTTAGTAGTAATCTGAAAGTTTAGCCTTTTATTTCCCTGGCTTATTGGGGAAGTAAGGTTTCGCCAACTCCTAGAGGCTGGTGCTAAGAGAGATGCTCTGGACCAGACCGGAGCGAGCGTTTTACACTCTGCCGCCGAGCATGGACAGGTCCAAGTCATGAGTTACCTCTTGGATCTAGGTGGGGGGTTCTATTGAAATTCGGTTTGTGCCAAATTTAGAAGAAGGCACTGTTATTTCACAGGGCCTTGGTCAGGGTTCTACAAGGGCTTTATCTGGGGGTTGAATCAGGGGGTCCCCTAAGGGGCTGAACGTTCTGAACCCCAGGTATGAACATAGAGTTGACAGAGGAGGCAGGGGCAACGCCCTTGTACGTAGCAGCGGAGAGTGGCCAGCTCGAGGCAGTTCGCTTCTTGATCCAGGCAGGGGCATACATCGACACGGAAGACGAGTCAGGGGCGACACCCTTATATGCAGCTTCTCAAAACGGTCATGCTGATGTGGTTGACTGCCTGGTCAAAGCAGGGGCGGACAAGGAGAAGTGCAAGAGGTATGGTGGAAGCCCTCTATCGATCGCAACATGGCGTGGCCATTTCGATGTGCTGGATGCACTTGACGAGGACTTGGAAAGTTTTAAGGCGCACAACTCCGGCTTCTTGCAGGAACTGCAAGCTCTATTAGATGAGTGCGGTGGTGGCAGTTTGTTCAGCAGATAAATCTCACCATGGAATTCAACAGACATCCATGATTCCTTGCTCGTCGGAACTCTTGCTCCGTTTCTAGGACCGGGCAGTCAAGCTCCCCGCGTACTGTTAAAAAGGATCCTTCTGAGATGTGAGATGACCTGCGAGCCAGCCTGCCAGCTCCTCTGGATGCCCCAAGCTTGCCTGAAAGCATATGGGTAGTTCTCTAAATTAGGGTCCCTTTTTAGGTCCCCAATATAGTAAGGCACGCTTTTAACAAGGACCCTAAATGGGACCCTGATTTAGAACACTACCCATATCGCACCAATGTGGCAAGGCTGAGTCTGACAGAACTCTGCCCCGGACAAGCGGCCGTGCTCTCAGTTTTGAGTCAAGGGGTTAACTGAGGCTTCCTGGGAGTCATGGCAAGCTCAGTGCATTTGTCAAGGCCGTGGACTTTGCCATGTTAATGCCTCCTTGGGAAGCTTCTCGCTCAGCCCAATGTCAACACTTGAACAGGAAAGTCGACTCTGTTCAGATGGCGTAGCGCCTCAAGTCGTAGACAAAGAAGAGAATCTGTACCTCAGGCTTCCCGCTATACATGGACTCACTTCGATGGAATGGGCCTCTTCGTCTTAGTCAAAGATCCAGATGCAGAGCGAGCGCCTATCCAACATGTGGGCCAAAAGCTACGCGATTGTGTCTGTGTGTCTTGTGTCTTTGCGTCTGTGTGACTCTACATATATGAAAAATATATTATAGAGAGAGCTGTACAATTTCAGCAGTAGAAACCTGAAGGATTAGATAAGAATATCTTCATATATTCAACCGAAATTAAAGAAATATTAGTTGACCTACATACACCAAAACATGTATTGACTCAGTATGTCAGTATATTCGTGTATGTAATATTTATTTGATGAGAACCATCTATAAAGGCAGCTCCGGGCTGTGTATTTGCTTGGGCAGCTGGCAGCCTCTTCGGATCGAGCTTTGCGACATCATGACGCCCGCTCTGCGCGGTTGCATCCCTCCGCCTCCACCAAGGGCTGCGTCGCCCCGAGTGGCCACTTGGACCTTGGGAAGACTGCAGCGTTGATCATTGGAAAGTGTTGACCGCCTGCTTAACAAGTGGAGACTACGTCTTGCATTCGTTTTTTCTACATTCCCTCCCAGAAGCTGGTTTTCAGGGCTTGAATACACACGGCCCAGGTCTCAGTCACGCGGGGTTGGAAGCTTGGTATCCGACTCCCAATCGAGCTCTCCCCCTTTCGCATGGGACCTGGCCTGAGGTCAAGCTCGTCACTTGTTTGGGCCTTAGGAGAAATGACATGACTCCGTGATTTATTTTGAACGGTGAGGCCGACAATTCATTTACGCACAAGCACACCTCCACGCTATCGTGGCGCCGCCAGTATGCGGATTCGTTCTAGATTCAGTTGAAAGTACTACTCCGGAGGCTTGGAGGTGCAGCGTCCGGTTCAATGTGCTGCCGCAGCCTGATCGATAATTACATAGCGTGCTCAGTTCATGAGCGCGCAGCTATTCCAGGTGGCCTCGTGCGTGACGCCGCGTAGGGCAGAGGCCCTAGTAATCCTAATTATGATCGGTCCCGTGTGTAGCAAGTAGTTCCTTTCATTCACAAATTATTGAGGTCCGGACCTTGAACAACGAGGATGCTACAGCCACGCTCTCATTCACCGCCCCGTACGTCTCAGGTATGGGCTTTCCGGTTGGAGCGGTCTGTTCAGGCTGACAGCTTCCAGACACCACCTAAAGAGGCCTGCGTCGGCAATTAGTTTGTAGTTGGAGGGGTATCGCGGAATAAGTTGAGTCATATGTTGTATTTCAAAAGTCAATGAGTTGCCAGTCGCGGAAGCCGGCGACCGATGCTCAGTTCACCACGCCGCTCGACTCCTGATTGGATGTTGGATGATAGTTGATTTTTGCAGGAGGTCTGGATTCAGTCGTTGTTTTGGTATGAGCGTTTCAAGCCCAGGCAAAGAGATTCAGAGAATCGTCACGCAAACGAAGAGTATTTGTAGCCCAGCAGGTGTCATCTTTATGTCTTGATTAGCTGAACACTTCAATATACCGTACAGTGGAATATGTGGTTGGTTGTGAGGACCCGTGAGGAAATAACCGCTGCTCAATTGAGCCCGGATGCTCCGTTCTGACGACTCCCCAGGCTCTTGCCAAACTCGCTGCCTGCTGCAACGTCCCACGGACAGGCAAAGCCTTGACCACAGAGATGGCCTATTCGCAGCATGTTTCTCATCTTGGTAATAAGTTCTACATAGGTCGATGCCGGTCTTACTGTCAGCGTTGTTGAGTCTTGTGTATGCGACCCTGACCGTGGAGGAGCTGCTGAATCTAAAGACCGGTGCTCAGCCGGTCAGTCGCCCAAGGGAATGAGGCAAAATGTTGC